AGGTAATTACTAGTAATTATAAAAGTAAGCGCTTACTAGTATCTACTAAGCGCTTACCTTATATAAGAATAGTAATTACTTATAACTATTAGTTAAAAGGAACTATTTAGAGAATAGCTAGGACTTATATATAGGATAGACTTAGGCGTACTTAAGGACAGACTTCTATAGCTTTTTAGTAATTAACTTATAATATATTTTTTAAATACCTTTTAGTATTTAAACTTAGTAATTTAATTAATAAGAAGCTATATAAGCACTAAGACACCCTTAACTACCTAACTAATTACTAAGTAATTAATAAGACTAGTAAGAATAATAAACACTATTAACTAAGTATTAACCTCTGCTTACTATTAGTAGAAACCTTACTGTCTAGAAACTAGCTATAATAAGTAGCTTATTATAAAATACTATTATTACCTTTATTTTAGCTATATATCTTTTTAGTATAACTAGCCTGCTATTATACTATAGGACCTTATCCTCTCTTTTTATTTATTTTTTCTTAAGTTATTACTAGTTATTTAATTAGGACTACTTATCTAATTACTAGGCTATAACTACCTTATCTTTTAGACTACTAAGGAGCTATTTTTAGTCTAATAGCGTAGGCTTTAGTGCCTTACTATAGTTAAATATTATAACCCTTTTTCTAAAACGTCTAAAGAAATCCTCTAGGAACGTGCTACACGCCTCTCTCCCCTCCTCCTTAGTAGGCTAATAGTCTAGCTGTTATAAGAGCCTATTTACTATATTATTTTTCCTTAGCTAGTAGTTAATCTTAAAGTTAAATAAGGATAAATCCTATAGTAGTCTAGCCTACTAGCTGTTAAGCTAGGGCTTAGCTATAAGGTAGTAGTAACTAAGAGAGTTAGTAAGAAATATAATCTAGTGTTAAGTATATAATAAGTAGTGTCTTTAGTAAAAAGCTACTTCTTATATTACTAGTAGCTTTATCTCTAGTGTCTTATACTATAACTTTACCCCCCTTAGCTTCTATAAGAGGAAGGCTACTAGGTGCTATAATCCTTTTTTTAGTTAGGCTAGTACTACTTTAATTATAAAATTAGATATATTTATCTTAACCTATATTAGTAGCACTAGGTTAAAATACTATAAGATAAAAGTATAAGTAAATATTATATAAAGCTTATAAAAAGCTTTTTTTACCTTTTTTATAATTACTTACTTCCTTACTATCTTTATAGTTAGCTTATCTATTAGGGAGAAATATATCTTAAAGTAGTTCTTAATAAATTATTTATAGAATTCTATAAACCTAAGAAAGACCTAAATATCCCTTATTCTAGTAGGGAGAGGCTACTATATAATAGCCTCTACTTACTCCTCTTTTATAGTAATCTCCTTACTAAATACTATAAATCTAAAGAACCTAATTATCTATATATAAAAGATATACTTCTTAGGATTTATATATAAGCCTGCTACGTCTAACTAGTATAGCACCTCTTTTATAACCTTTATATACTTCTCTTTAGTCTTTATAAAAATAAGGATATTATTTAAGTAAATAATATAAGTAACGTCTACTAGGCTAGCTAAGGTATTATTTATATATACCTAGAAGGTTACTAGTATATTAACTAGCCTAAATAGTATAATATAGTATTTAAAGTAGCTATAATAAGTATAAAAGCCTGTTTTTTATTTATTTTTTACCTTAATCCTTACTTAGTAATATATATTCTTAAGGTCTAGTTTTATATATTATATTTACTTTTACTAGTCTATTTAAGATCTCCTTAATTAAAAGTAATAGTATATAATTCTTAATAGTAATCTTATTAAGGCCTTAATAATTAATATAAAAGTATAACTTACCTTTTTTTTTAGTATAAAGAGGATTAGCGCCCCTACTAGGCTCTTTAAGGGCCTAATCTAGCCTTTTTTTAATAACTTATTAAGGTACCTTTATAGTTCCTCTAGCTTCTTCTCTATAAGGGGGTAAATAAGGCTAAATAGTAGTTCTACCCCTAGTTTTAGTTTAATTAGGTGTACTTATTTTTTATCCCCTATAGGCTTTACTACTAGGTCTATATTAAATAAGTGCACCTATTTTTTATATTCCCTTAGTAGTATAAACTTCTAAGCTCTGTCTTTTATAACTTCTTATTCTTTATCTAACGTCTTCCTAAGTATCTCTAGCGCCCTCTTATTATCTTTATATTATAGGTATTAGACTATTAGTTAGTATACTAAGATAGCTTTTACCTTTTTTTAGGCCTTATATATAGCCTGTTTACCTTAAATAAGCTAGATATAATCCTTACTTAGTAAGTATATCTACCTAATTATTTCTTAATATAGGTTTAGGTATACTAATATACACTAAGAGATCCTTAGTATAGCGTTATACCTACCTTTATAGCTAATTTAAAACTTATAGCTCTAAGTTCTTAACACCTTTAGGCTGTCTTTTACTTTTATAACTACTCTCTTTATTTTATAGTTAGGGACTTTCTCTTCTTATATTTCTTTTAGTATTAGCCCTCTTTTAGTAACCTTTAGTAAGGCCTTTATATATAGTATACCTTAATAAAAGATATTCTTATTTACCTTAGTATTAATTAATATCTTCTTTTTTTTCTATATACTACCTACTTTTATATAGAAGTCTGCCTTAAATTAGTAGTATAGCTTTTTCTTCTAAAGAAGTTAAATACTATTAATTCTTATTAGCACTAAGGCGTACTATCTTCCTAAGTGTTATAGCTACTTATACTTATAGTACTTCTTTTTACTACACTTAGCTAATATATACCTTAGCTTCTTATAGTTATAATAAGTAAGTAGCCCTTAGGTCCTCTTAAGGTAAGGTGTTATAACCTTTTTTTTTTAACCCCTAGCTTTAGTATAGGTATACCTATTAGTGTTAAGGTTATTAATATAATATATATACTAGTAGCTTTTATTAAAGAGGTAGCTATAGCTATTAGCTATACTACTACTTCTTATTAGCCTTTTTTCTTCTAACCTTACCTAGGCTATCCTCTTAACACCTCCTTTATATAGGTCTTAAAGAGCGTCTTTACTTTTTTTACTATATTATCTAACTCCTAGTAGGTAGCTAGTAGTCCCTTAGTAAAAATATAAGCCCTTAGGTCTAGTAGCACCTATTTTAAGATATAGACTACTTACTACTTTTTTATTTAGAGGTTAAAGCACTTTTCCTTAACTATTTTATACTTATTAATAAATTATTAGTATAATTAGCTAGAGGCTTATTATATAGTGTCTAGCTTTACTATAGCGCTAAAGACCTATATATTATTATTAGTAACTTTTATTTTTAGCTAGTTCTTTATAACCTCTTAAGGTATTTTACTTACTTTACTATTATAGTAAAAACCTATATACTTTTTTTATTTATATACTAAGTTATTTTTTAGTATAATACTAGTATAGCCTACCTTATTATTAGTAGTAGTAAACTTATTTTTTACTATACTAAAGCGTATTTTTAGTTAGAATAAGAATTCTTATAGCTTATTTTAACTTTCTTTTTTATACTTTAGTATAAGTAATCCTTTTAGGAGTATATTAGTATATAGTTACTTAGTCTTTAGCTAGAGGTTAGTAAGTACTACTACTTTTACTAATATGTTTTTTATTAATATACTACTTTAGAGGGCCCTAATTTAATTAATTATCTTTTTTTTTTTACTTTTTTTACCTCTTTTTTTAAGAAGGCCTTTAGCTCCTTCTTTATTAGCTTATCTAGGTTAGTAGCGCGCTACTTATCTACTACTAAGGTCTTAGTTATATTAGGCGTTAGTTACCTAGTAGTAACACTTCCTTAACGCTAGGCTATAGTTTAGGATTAGGTAGGTATTATTACTACTCTAATAGTTAATACACCTAAGGGTAAATAGAGATTAGAACGTGTTAGAGGCTAGGATAGTATTAAGTAAAGGAGTTAATAATTAGCGTAGTAAGGGTTTAATTATAATAATTATTCTAATCTGCCTTTTTCCTTCCTCAGGATTCCTATAGATTTCTCCTTTTACGTGCCCCTTAGCCTATAGTTTACCTGTATCCAGCCCTGTCCCAGTGCCCCCCCAGCGCCCTGTCGCGGCGCCTGACAGCAAGGGCTAAATTAACAAAGAAAAAGAAACATTTGATCGAGCGAGGTAAATAACAATCAATAAATAGATCAGGAAACTTATTTAATAATGGCTGCGCTTAATCGTGAGATGAAAGCCTGGTCTAGTGCTGTTGTTTAGATGTGTGGTGAGCTTTTTCTAGTATTCATATTTCTTTATGGGAGTACTACACAAGGCGGTTAGCGTCAGAGGGGCGTACATCATATTTTCGACCACATTCTATACAGTGGTTGCGAGTGAATGAAATATTGGAATATGGTGTTCTGTCTGGGAACAAATGATAAAGTATGCTATGTTTTCTGCGTATGACCGAAATCTCTCCTTGCTTGTGCTGCAATCTACGTTCCCGCTCCAATGTATGTTAGAATAGTCAGGTGGTTCGCTTGGATAGTGGTTAATATATTGTACAGACATCTGCTATTTAATGTGGATTTCAGTGCAGCTTAACCCACAAACAGGGTCATTCAACCGCTTGATATAAACTAGACGCAAGTCAAGTGATGGTTGGCAAAAGGTCTCAAAAGTTTAGGATCAAATGATCAGGCTTTCCCCGCCTGAATATTTTCCAAACGCAACATAGGTAAAGGAACGCTGTCTTGGGTTACAAGGCCTAACACGAGGCCCATCTGTCAGGGCTGACGGGGGTCACCGTGGATATGGTGATGCTGTGGCACTATCCTGGCTATAAACGCAAACAATAGGGTGGTTCACTATGTTCATGTATGGCCAAAGTGCAAAAGCAATTCTTCTAAGTACATTTATTTTTCATTTATGAATGTATTTCGTGCCGAACTCCGACTAGATCTAAAAATCCGACATGGCCCTTGATGTTACACTGGCATTTTCCCCATTCACCGTGTCTTGAAAATCCATCTATGAGCTCTCGGCCTGCTTAAGGAGGCTTTCGAGGTTGATGCTCTTGGGTCGCTCGATGGGTAAGCCAAGGGCACGGTCCCAAATGAGTTGAGCAAGGGGCCCCAAGCCACGAGAGACACCGAAGGTGGCGGTGTAGTACAGCGTCTCGTGGAAGCCGTAGTGGTGGAAGAGAACGCCGGAGCTGGAGTCGACGTTGGGGTAGGGGTTCTTGGTCTTGCCGTGCTTCTTGAGTACCTCAGGAGCGATCCGGCTGTTCTTCTGCACGAGCTGGAAGATAGGATCTTGGGCAATCTCCGGGCGTGCGGCGGCATAGTCCATTAGGGCTTCAAAACGGGGATCGGGCTTGCGTAGAACGGCGTGGCCGTACCCAGGCACAACTCTACCCGAGTTGAGAGTAGTCCATAGATAGTCTGTCACATCCTTATCAGTGTATGACTTGGGGATGTTGTCCTTCATCTGAATGATCCATCGAAGCACTTCCTGGGCAGCAAGCCTATCATCTTGTCAGCGCACGAAGACGCGCGGGTTGCTGTTTATCATCCTACCCGTGGAGAGGTCCCGCCAAACCCTGGAGCCCGGCACTGTAGCTGAGGAAGGGATCGCTCAGTGCGCTTCCGACCAAGTGGGTGGCGTGAGCGGAGACGTTTCCTCCCTCGTGGTCGCCGTGCAGAGCAAGGTAGAGTCTTAGAAGGTCCTGGAAGCTCTCGTTCTCCTTGCCACCCTTTCCAAGCATAGCAGCAAAATTGTAGGACCAATCCTGTTCGATGTCAACCTCGGCCGGAAGAGCACCACCGCCCCGGTAGGAGTTCTGGTAAATTTTAGCGGCAATGGTGGGCAGCTTGGCCAACAGTGAGATAGAGTCGTCAAAGGTAGGCTCCCAGTAATCAGCCTTGTTAAGACCCTGCTCGTAAGCCTTGGCAAATTTGGAGGTGTAGTTCAGGGCAGAAACGGCAATGGCAAACTGGGTCATTGGATGAAGGTCTTTGGGAAAGTCGTCAAGCAGCTTGTTGACAAACTGAGGCAGTTGGGCTTGTTCAGCCAGCTCACGGGAAAACTGGCGAACCTGGTTCGTGGAAGGGACCTGGCCTGTAAGTAGAAGCCAAAACATAGCTTCCGGCAGCATTTCCGTGCCCGTCTTTCCCTTAGGCAGCTCCTTCTGGCAGTCCTTGATTGTCTTGCCGTGGAAGCGAATACCTTCGTTGGCATCCAAGACTGAACCCTCCCAAACCATGGCCTTTAGACCACGCATGCCACCAATGGCGTTCTCAATCTTGACCTCGCCTATGACCTTGGAGGAGTGTGCCTTGACTTTCTTCAAGAGTTCTCGCTTGGCTGGGATAACACTCTTGAGCGTGGTCTTGAGGTCTGGCTCGGACGAGGAAGAGTACTTGCGGGCATTGAGGGAAGAGCGAGCTGCTAGACACTGGCACAAGTCAGTCTAGATGCTTTCTCGAGGAAAGATTGTACTCGATGCAAGTCTCGACATACCCTCAGAGCTCCTACAGCCCTCGTGCTTCTGGTGAAGTTCAAAGTCATGACTTGTCGACCGAGTAGCTTGAAGGGAGGGGTCAGCAGTTGGGTAAGTGACGTCAACAAGCAAGTTCAGTTTGGTTGTAGAGATGTCGCCAACGAGGTTCTAAAAGTACTGATCGCACAGTGACCGGTCAATGGAGCGAATATTGCGTCCGCGAGAAGGTTTTGGGAAGGAATATGGATAGAGACAGAAGAGAGCGGGAGGAGAAAGAGACCAAGCTTGTAGTTTGCTACAGGCTTTATTATGCCTATCTAAGTTCCTACCTACTTAGGTACCTACCTAGGTAGGCCGAGACAAACATGGCCCGAGTTGAGGGGTTGTCAGCCAGCGCCTGTGCCGTCCGTTCGCCTCTGGGCGGGCACTGTGAGCAGTAGGTAGCCTCTCCAGGTAGGTGCCGAGGGTGCTCCGGACGGGAACCCCAGGTTTCCTCCACGTTTGGCGGGCTGCTCCTCTGCGGTCGGAGCTCTAGGGTCGACTGACTACCTATCTGAGCGCTGTGACTGGCCTTTTGCTTTGCCCCATACCCCGGTCACTGGTACTAGTGTACAGAAAATGAGGGGAAAGGGATGGGCCGAGGCAAACCGAATACCTAGGTATGCTACGGACGAGCGGTTACGGGGGATTGACCAATGATTGACCCTCTTGGACGTGCGGTCGGTCATCAACCCATCTTTGCCGCTTCTTACCAAGGCTCAACGTCCCCCTTCTCCGGCTGACGCTCGCCGAACTGCGCTGCACGTATGTTTGGTTTTCCACGCACGTTACCTGCAATATACGGCTAGTCATCGTATCCCGGACGTAAGATATCCTACCCCGAGTAGCAAAGCACCCGCTGGGATTTCACCCAGACATGGGACACTAATTCTTCTCCTAGACAGCCTAACTTTCCCTACCACCACAAATGATGTGAAAATCCACAGTCATCTCTCAGAAGTCGATATTTCTCCATCTCATCGCCCAGAGCCGCTACAAACGCGAGGAAACATGATCAGAAGAGCTGCCGCGCGTGCGGTCTTCCGAAGAGTTCCTCTACTTAGACCGCCATTGGCCCTGGCCACTCTCGCGCGTTGTGTCTCAACAACACCCCGAATGGCTCAGGTCCCTGCAAACCCATTCTCCTCTGGCTCCCCTCCAGCCGATGCCTTCCAACTACTGCCTGAGTCCGAAAAGGCTGGCGTTGCCGAAGACGAGCTATACGAAGCACAGATCAAAGAGGTCGAGGCATGGTGGCAGTCGTCCAGATACTACGGCATCAAACGACCTTACAACGCCGCCGATGTCGTGTCTAAACGCGGCTCGCAACATTATTCCTACCCCAGCTCCGTCATGGCGCGAAAGCTTTTCAATCTCGTCAAGGAAAGGGGGGCTGAAGGGAAGCCGATTCACACAAGTACGGTTGGCCCACCTGAATCTCGTCGCCGTTAACAACCATATGCTAACCGACGTGCGGCTTACAGTGGGCGCCATCGACCCCGTTCAAATGACGCAGCAGGCACCCCATCAAGAGGTCCTCTACATCTCGGGCTGGGCCTGCTCCTCCCTCCTTACCTCTACCAACGAAGTGTCCCCAGATTTCGGCGATTACCCTTACAACACTGTCCCGAACCAGGTCCAGCGTCTCGCGAAAGCCCAATCGATGCACGACCGGAAACAGTGGGACGCCCGCCGGAAGCTGACGCCCGAGGAGCGCGCAAAGACCCCATACGTCGACTACCTGCGGCCCATCATCGCCGACGGTGACACGGGTCACGGCGGCCTGTCTGCCGTCCTCAAGCTTGCCAAGCTGTTTGCCGAGAACGGGGCTGCGGCGGTGCACTTTGAGGATCAGCTTCACGGCGGGAAGAAGTGCGGGCACTTGGCGGGCAAGGTCCTGGTGCCCATTGGGGAGCACATCAACCGCCTGAACGCCGCCCGCTTCCAGTGGGACGTTATGGGCTGCGAGAACCTCGTTATTGCCCGCACCGACTCGGAGAGCGGAAAACTCATTAGTAGCGCCATTGACGTGCGCGACCACGAGTTCATACTCGGCGTCACAGATCCGAGCCTTGAACCCCTTGCTGAGACCATCCAGGCCATGGAGGCCAAGGGCGCCCCTGGTTCTGAGATCGACGCCTTCGAGGCAAACTGGGTCAGGGTCACGAAATTAGTCACCTTCGACGAGGCCGCCGTAGCACACATGCACAAGGAGGGCGTGTCCCAGGAAAATATTGATGCCTACCTCGAAGCCGTGCACTCGAACCGCGACATCGGTATCACCCAGCGTCGCAAGCTCGCGAACGAGCACACATCGACCCCGGTCTACTTCTCGTGGGATGTCCCCCGCACGCGCGAGGGTTTCTACCACTACCGCGCCGGCATGGACGCCGCAACGAAGCGCGCCATTGCTTTTGGGCCGTATGCGGACCTCCTCTGGGTAGAGACGGGCGACCCCAACGTCGAGGTGGCGTCGAAGCTCGCCAGAGCTGTGCGTGAGGTATATCCAGGCAAGGGCTTGGTCTACAACCTCAGCCCTTCCTTCAACTGGATGGCACACGGCTTCACAGACGAGACCCTCAAGAGCTTCATATGGGACATTGCCAAAGAAGGCTTCGTGCTGCAGCTCATCTCCCTGGCCGGTCTCCACTCGAACGCAACCATCACGAACGAGCTCGCGAGGGAATTCAAGAAGGACGGCATGCTGGCATACGTCAACATTGTGCAGAGACGCGAGAAGGAGAGCGGCTGCGATGTCTTGACGCACCAGAAATGGAGCGGTGCAAGTTACATTGACGGCATCTTGGGAGCGATCCAGAGCGGTAGCTCAAGCAGTAAGAGCATGGGTGAGGGAAACACTGAGAGCCAATTCCATTGAAACGGCGTTGACAGTAGTACGTACGTACATTGGGCGGCGTTGTTGGGTTTGCGCGGTTGGTTGTGATTTTCTTTTTTCCCCCAGGGGGGGGGGGGGGGGGTTACCTTTTCTCTCCCGAGCCCTCTTTTGCCCTTTCGTTTCTTGCGCCTCTCCCATGTAGATGCCAATTGGATGCCTACGAGACCTCATGAAAGGGGAAAACCACTGGTTTGTGGGCTTGCAGGCAACAGAGGGAGAACATCATTATGAATAATTTAGTCTATTCACACTTTCATCATGACCATCGACCGTTGCCTAATCTCTTACCCAGCGCCATAAACTCCAAATCCATTATCTCATGATTTCGAGGAACCCGGAATCAGATAAGCCGCGTCGGCCTCTTACTCAAGGCTAGTGCGACTGGCGTTGTTGATGGGCGCGGGCGTCGCAGGACCTTCGGGAGTTACGTAGGCCTTGGTCATACCGCCGTCGACTACCATGTCGTGACCATTGACGAAGCTCGACTCGTCACTTGCTAGGAAGAGGACGGCCTGGGCCTGTTCAATGGCCTCGCCGAAACGACCGGTAGGAAAATGAATCTCGCGGCGCAAGCGCTTGGGGATGTCGTCACCAAGCCAGTCCTGCAACAACGGCGTGTTGAGGGGCGCGGGGCAGAGAGAGTTGAAGCGATAACCCTCGCGGGCGTGCACCATCGCGAGCTCACGGGTAAGGGCGAGAACGGCGCCCTTGGACGCCGTGTAGGCAAGCTGAGGGGTAGCAGCGCCAACGAGGGCGACAACAGAAGCCGTGTTGATGATGGAGCCCTTCTTCTTGTTGTTGCGGCGCAGGGCGAGAACGGCGTGTTTGCTGCCGAACCAGACACCCTTGACATTGATGTTCTGGGTCAGATCCCAAATCTCCTCGGGGGTATTGATAGCATCGTCGTCGCGAGCGTGCATGATGCCAGCATTGTTGAATATGATATCAAGTCCACCCCAGGCATCGACCGAATCGACGAGGGCTTTGACCTGGTCCTCCTTGGAAACATCGGTGATCTGTTGTATGCTGTCAGCCCGAGGAACAACTGTTTTCAAGCAACGCGTTCAGGACCCGCAAATGATGGGACATGGAGGGGCATAGTGGGGTAGCTGTGCAGTTGGGTGTGTGCATTTGTGCGGTCGGTCGGTTGATACAGTGCAGTTTCGGAGCGGCGGGAATGGAATCTTCCAACGCTTCTCATTCGCAGCGTGGACGTACCTTGGTCTCAACCCTCGCCGACGGAATGAGCGAGAGCACCTTGGCCTTGGCCTTGTCAAGCGCGGGGCCAGAGATATCGGCCATGACGACGCTGGCGCCCTCCTTGGCGAAGAGAATGCTGGTTTCTAGCCCAATGCCACTGAGAGGGAAATCGCACGTTAGCTTATCGCATCCTGTGAGAGTCGTCTTGCGGTGAGCGCCCTGCCACTGGGGACGCATCCCGATGCGGCGTTGAGATAAGGCGATTCGGTGGCCATGAGGGGAGATATTTGCTTACCCAGCAGCGCCGGTGATAACGGCGTTCTTGCCAGCTAGTCTGCCGCCCATCTCGGTAGGAACAGAACCCATTTGATCGTAGATTCGGGGTGTGTTGCACGAGTTATGATGTAGAATCGCAATTCTTGGTTTGTGGTGAACCGCGATGTGGCGAACGGACGAATTTGGGGGTCGCGGGGGTAGTCGGGGAAGCGTCAAGTTTGTCTAGTCGAGTTGTTGGTGGGAGAAGGAAGGAGGGGAGGAGAAGGATACGACAGCACGACGGAGACGACGGGTTTAAAGAATCAGAAAGGCAATGGCCAAAGACGGGGCTTGTTTAGCAGAATGGAGCCGAAGAGAGACAGAAGACTGTCGTCAGATAGGAGATGAGTCAAGGAAATCCGGGGTTCAGGCCTCGTCTTGCCGCCCTGGCGGCCACTTCCCCAAGGACTAGGACCAACTTGATGGGCTACTCATGGGAAGAGGCATTCGCATACACGGAGTAGGCACTGGATACAAAGCGCGCAAGCGCGGTACGAACACATCAGGTCGGGATGGCTATCCAGCCCCCTTCCTAGCTCACGATTAGCCAGCTGCTCGAGCCTTGTACTGGGAAGGTAGATCCGACAACGGCGTATCGGGAACACCATCTCGCTCAGATATGCGACAAGGGGTGGACGAGGTGCAGGCAGCCAGAGCCGTGTGGGGTTAGGCAAGCAAGCTCTCCGGCCTTGCTGCCTCCGTATACATGACAAAACTCCAGAACGTCCTTTGAAATCGGGATGAATAACTGATCGTCGTGGGGTCTATTTCCGGCGGCTTAACTATACTGGGCGGTCCAGAACCGCTGTAGCTACATCGCCTGTGTGTACTCGGTAAGGTAGGGGGTGATTCCCAAGACAGCACATAAACGCGTCGACGGGCGCACGTCCGATGTCCCGTTTATCTCTTATCAGCGGGGTCTGGCTGTGACATGATGGAGGCCCAAGATCAGGAGCCAACCCCTCCGTAATACATCTGCCAAGGGGGGCGAGGCACCACTATGAGACGGAGGGTTGAGCCGGGCACCCATGGGCGCATGACTGGCAACAGCTTGTCATTTCCAAATATAGAGAAATCAGCCTCGATGGACGTTGACTGTGGCCAGTCGGCAAGACCCTTTGTGCATGGTTTTGCGCAAAGAGCTGCCAGGATAACAGCCTGATTGATAGAGCGGTGACAGTCCAATGGCAGCGAATTGCGAGCGGCAAAGACTTTGGGCTAGGAAGTGCATGCAGTGCGGCAAAGGCAGAAAGCGACAAAACTCGGATTTGCTCAATTGACCAGACAAAAGTCGCCACTAAGAATCCTGTCAGGTACCTAACCTCGCACGCCGGGATGGGGCAATGGAAAGCAAGCAGGGTTAAACAAAGACTGCGTGTGACATTGCCGAAAGTGCCAAAGTGAGCAGCCGAATTGCAGTGGTAAAGAAGAGCCGTACACTACAAAAGGTTGGACACCACAATCCGAAGCGGTCTGCTCGAGCCCCTCCACCCCCGCTTGGTTCCCATCGTCATGGGCAGGCGACGGTGAATGGGAAACGAGCATGTGGTGTTCGAGTCCGGACGGACCGGACGGACTGGACGATCCATTACGATTCGTAAACTCGTCATTCGTGGATTGTAATACACATTAATGCGCACCGCGGTCCGGGACCGCGCCGAAGGGCCCCCGAGTCGATGAGGGGCGGCTGCAATGTCAACGCCAGTTGAGGAGACACCAGCGGCAAAGAGGGTTTACAAGCGAGTGCAAAAGCGCGGCAAGGAAGACTAAAATGGGGATGAATATGAGCATGCATGACAATGCAAGATATGTGCCGCGCTTGTTGCGACATGGCAGACTAGCTGGAGGTACCATCAGTAAACATATTGCACGCGACAAGGGGTCAAGAGGGCAATTCCCATCATGAACCTCGTAGGATCAGGATGATATTACACCCCCTCCGCCGGCTATATCGTCGTGGAGGATCCGAACATGGCGGTGACACAGTACGAGTACGGGAACATTTCGAGAATCGCAGTCGGCACTACAGCCGTGGCGGATGGTGATGGACATCGATGAGGGACGTCGAAGAGGAAAAGAGAGTGAAGTAGACACATGGAAACGACGACAAATGTGGCAAGGAGGCAACATGGACAAGACATTCTAATGGTGCACTACGTCCTCATTAGGTACTCAAAGGCTGGGAAGGTCACACGATGATGGGTGCTAGGTAGCCTCTGCAATTCACGGGTGGTTATCAAGACAACCCAATTGTTGCATTTGCCTCAACCAACCCCAGCATCCTGTCCACGGTGAGACTGAGATACGTACCCTGACCTACCGAGGCTTAGACCCTATCGGAACTAGGTATGGGCGACTGCCGTGGCAGAGGTCGTGATGACCCGCTCTACCCCCCCCCCCTCCCCAAGAGAAAGGATGAACCAATACTTGCGTAGGTGGGCAGGAAAGAGCAACCAATATCCGTACAGCTTTCCTACCAATGCAGCCAATGGCCGGTGACCAACATGCGACAGTTGTCAGTTCCAAAATCGAAGGGGGGGAGGGGGGGAAGAGGAGGGGCTACGATTGCAAGAAAGCTCGAGAGAGACACACGAATATGGTGTACACGCCCTACCTACCTACCGTATCCTGTTCACTTCAAGGTACCTGGGTACTGAGTTACTCAAGTCATGCGTTCATTCCCCAGCAAACTCGCTTCGCCGCCTCCGGCTAGATGTCATCCAGCGCGTCACTCCAGATGGCCAAACTTCTCAGATCGCACCATTCCATTGGCCGCGCGCTCCCTTATCGGCGCTCCCGCATCCAGCTCGCTGTACGCACGAGGGGTTTCCTTGAAATCAAGCTAGAGCCACTTCGCCTCAGGACGGCAATACTAGGTAGGCTAGCCTACCTACGTACACAGTAGGTGATAAGAAACTGAGCCGGGCTGGACACATTCCGGGGTGGGCTGCCATACGGATACTGCTGTACACTACCTAGGTAGGTACCTAATGTCCGTCTCTCTCCGCATTCCTTCCCTCTGAGCTCCAGTGTTTCCCCCGCCGTGCAATGTCCAAGCCCCACGATCTGTTCTAGTTCGGCTTCTTGTCTCGTATTGCTTTGCTCACACGCGCGCGCGCTCTCTCTCTCTCTCTCTCTCTCTCTATCTCTCTCTCTTCCTCTCCTCTCCTCAAACACCCCGCCAACTCCTTGCCCTTCTTGAACAAACCCTTATCTTCTTCTTTCCCATCCTTTCTCAACATCCTCCGAGCTGTAGGAGAGAGGAAGAAGAAGAAGAAGAAAACCAGAGATCAATCTCGTGCTTCCCCGTTGCACGCTACGCTTTGCGACCACACCTCAAACCACGAGCTTTCGTCCAAACCGCCGCCGTTCAAAGTCAATTGACAGCCCCCGTTTCCCGCCATGGCCCCGTCCAACGAGACTATTACCGTCGAGTCGCTCCCGGAGCTTCTCAAGGATGATACCAAGGTAAAGCTGGCCGGCATCGACGTCGATGGCATGTTGCGCGGCAAGCTCGTGTCTAAGAGCAAATTCCTGTCAGTCGCCAAGTCTGGTTTTGGCTTCTGTTCCGTAATCTTCGGATGGGACATGCATGACATGACATACATCAAGGAACTCAAGATCAGCAACGCCGACAACGGCTATCATGATCTAATGGCCATTCCCGATCTCTCTAGCTTTCGTCGCATTCCGTGGGAGAACAACGTGCCCTTCTTCTTGGTCAGCTTCTATGATCCGGATACCCAGAAGCCCATCTGCGTGTGCCCTCGCGGATTGTTGAAAACAGCCTTGGAAAAGTTACAGACGAAGGGCTACGGTGCCATGGCCGGAGGTGAGCTTACCAGGACATCAATCGAATGCCCTCGCAATGAACGAAGCTAATGGCGCTTTCTATCCCCAGCCGAGTACGAGTTCTACCAGTTCAAGGCACCTGCTCGCTCTTCCGAAGCCACGAGCTCCACGGCCGGATATTTGCAAGAGAACCCCCCACAAGCTTTGCCATCCCTTACCGAGGGTATGTTTGGTTACAGCTTAACAAGGACCGTTCATAACAACGACTACTTTTATGACATCTTTGAGACATGCTCGCAGTTCAAGTGTGACATTGAGGGCTGGCACACCGAGAGTGGCCCAGGTGTCTTCGAGGCGGCCCTCGAGTTTGGAGAGATTCAACAGATGGCCGACAGGGCTAGCTTGTTCAAGTAAGTTGGCCGGATCACGGCCGCCTCTGCCGAGCTAACCGTTGCCGTTTGCAGGTACGTTGTCAAGTCGGTCGCAACAAAATATGGCATCACCCCTTGCTTCATGGCCAAACCAAAGCAAGGCTTGCCTGGAAACAGCGGTCACATGCACGTTTCCATCGTCGACAAGGAGGGCAAGAACCTCTTTGCGCGGGAGACGAAGGACGAGAACCCGCCTTACCCGGATGTTGCTGGACTTTCAGACATGGGCCGTCATTTCTTGGCTGGCCTTCTCGAGGGTCTCCCTGATGTTATGCCTCTACTGGCTCCTACGGTGAACTCGTACAAACGTCTGGTTGAGAACTTCTGGGCACCCGTGACGGTCTCGTGGGGCTTGGAGCATAGGGCCGCATCAATTCGCCTCATTGCCCCTCCTACATCGAAACCAGGCGCAACCCGTTTCGAGGTCCGCGTTCCCGGCGCTGACACAAATCCGTCTTTTGTGCTGGCAGCAATCCTTGCTCTTGGCTGGCGAGGCGTTGAGAAGAAGCTGGAAATTCCCGTCCCGCCTTTGGGCAAGGGCCAAGATGTCGGCGGTAGCAATGATAAGGGTATCAGGCTCGCAAAGAGTCTGCGCGAAGCAAATGATCGGTTCAAGCGGAAGGAGAGTATCGCTAGAGAAGTTTTTGGAGATGATTTTGTCGACCACTTTAGTGGAACAAGAGATCATGAGATCCGGCTTTGGGATGAAGCTGTGACGGACTGGTGCGTATCAACATTAAGCCCCTTGCCAGAGGGTAAAATGAAAGTGCTAACATGTATCCTGCGTAGGGAGGTCAAGCGATATATTGAGACGGTCTGAAGGCCGGGGGTTTGGGCGACTTATCCCTTCTATCGTTGCCTGGATACTGAGTATTCTCATCGGATGCCGGGCTCCTCCGGGGAAGACGGTGTCGGGCCGCCTGCGTGATGCAGCCCGGGAACAACCCCGTCACGAAAACGATGGGTCTCTTGAGTCAAGAACCTTACCACATTCCGGCTATGCGCATGTGCCAACCCAGCCCCGTCCCGAGTTATCGTATTTATTTAGATACCCTCCAAATACCAAAGTGCCGATATATGTAACACCGTCATGTCATTTGTTTCTGCCCGGTGCAGGAGAAAATGTAGCAAGGTTTTTGACGGGCGGCATGCGACAATGCTGGCGACAAGCTTCATTGGTTGTATTCGATGCGCCTCTTATGATCGGAGGACGCGGTTGCAGGTCCCATGTGCGTGAACGAATCTATTGATCCAATCCTAGCGTTGAGCGCCGGGAGCTTGTGATGAAAATGCGCTTCTTGCTTGTACCAGGCCGGGATGGGCGCAGCGACCTCATTGGCTTCTGTGATTGACCATGTTCCTTCGATTGGCCCATCATGGCCAAGACTAAGGCTTGCAAGTATGTCGGTGAAGAATGCCAGTAACAACTGGAGACGTGAGTCAAGAGAGCCTCATTTGCGTTGGTCTCGTTGGCTACATGTACCTTTCCAAGGCGCTGCAAGAAAGGGGGGGGCAGACGACCGATGGACGACGGAAGCTGAGCTCGGAATCCGTCATGATCGCTCGACGAGACCCTCTTATCCCAGATTTGTGAACGGGTCAATAAGCCTTTTCTCGAATAATGTGGCCGAGGCTTTTGGGCCAAAGGCAGGCAGTCTGAGCCAGTATTTCATCTCGTCAGTTCCCATTCCATGTGCCGGGCTGATTCTTCGGAAGCAAAAACGGCGGGCGTCAGTTCGCTGCGGGACCAGGGTTAAACACGAGTGCCACGCCACTAGCTCCATTTGACAAGCAAACATAGCGTGGCACCCTGGGAGTGTTGGGGCTCCCATGCCCTGCCGTGGTCTATCGGTTGTCCATCAGGGAGCGCGGGAGCAGCCACCGATAGATGCACTTTGTGGCGGTCGATGCGTACCACCTTATTCTTCTTCAAAGAACGCAGTCACAGCAGTACACTCCTCATCGTGGTTTGTCTACTATGCTGGGAGAGCATTCCTACATAAGTCACAGAGGAATATAGTCGCGTATGCTAAGTGAGGTACTCATAAAGGCATGGCTGATGATTGAAAGTCCCAGGAGAGGGCTACATGGAAATCTTCCCTTCAAACCATTCCTTCATGCCAAGAACATAGTTCTCCAGGGGAACGCGTGCGTGCTGCTGACCAAAAGTTACATCCCGCCAAAAGAGATTGACACTTAAACGTCGGGGCACTATTCCGGCCGTTGAGACATATGTTGAGGTGACAAATCAATGTGACCAGAGAAAAGAGAATGACGCGGTGAAGTGTATACCAGGTTGAGCTAGCCTCTGGTTAGCCCTAGGCGGTTGGAGCAGGGTAGCACTCAAATCCATGGCTGACAACGAAAGAAAGGAACATGGCACACATGTGTCATTTGAGTGCGGGAGAGAAGGGGGACGGAGAAGACAGAGAGAGGAAAGACAATTTCCGAGAGAGGATTTATATATTCAAGTCGCGATGACCAACCCCCGGCTTGTAATGAGGCTGTTGTTAGTCGCAGGGCGCCACACAGGAGTAGAGTGATTGTGAGATACTGGAACACGATTACTGATCGTCCGTTCTTCGATTCCACGTAGTGACAGTTCTTCTTTGCTTGTCCTATGATGGAGCCGTTGCCTCGCCTTGCTTTGTGTTCGAATACCTCGCCAACATGGCTAACCCTGTTTGTTTCTCCCATCCTGCCCTGCAACAAGCGCCAGGCCTTCCCTACACGAGCAGATCTTTTCTGGGGGGGAGGGGCAGAGAGGAGTCTCGACCTCGTTACCTATTTTTCTTCTCAAGTTCGTCATGTTTTTAAATGGGCCCGGCCGGCATGATCCACGTTCTCAAAGGCCCATTCACAGCCGGCACCATCTACCGTCGACCGCACCCCATGCTCGTCTTTATTTTGCCTGCAGACAAGTGCTCTGGCCTGGAGTGGCAGATTCTCTCGGCAGGGCCAGCAACAAAAGGCACAAGACATAGAGGTTCCATCCAGATGCAGTCCCCGGTTCCCGCGGAAAAATCAAATTTCCTCTTCAGTCCCCCTCCCCGGTTCAAGTCAAATTAACCTTTCCCGTCCGGTCTTGTTGCATTGCGTATGCCTGGCCCCCTTTGGCCTGCCAACGTCCTTTGTCCACGCCGAATAAGCCAACTGGCTCTCCTTGTCATAGTTTTTTGGTGGCTCACATTCGGTCCATCGTCGATTTCTGGAAGGGCTTGGGTACATAACGCTTGTCCAACCGTTTTCCAAATCTTCAACGTTATTCGTACGCAACCCCCCCCTTTTGCATATAGAGGCGGTGGTATCTCATAGTTATGGTTTTTTTCCTGTTGCTTTTTTAAGTGATTCTGGGTGGCTTTTTTTGTTTTTCATCAAGCAGCATCGCGTGTAGCAAGCCCAAGACTCGCCCTCCACTTGGAGAGCCACAGTGCAGAGACGGCCCCTGTGGAGCGCACTGCTCCGTATGTAGCAACACTGCAAGAGGTCAAGATACGAAAAGGGGCGAAGCGGTACCGAGACACGACGAAGACGGATCCATCAAAGGGAAACCACCAACTGATTGATAGGTAAAGAGGATATCGCGCCATCCTCAATCTAGAAATATCGGAGGGTATTTCTTCATGGGCGAAGACGTTGATGCCGCGACCGGAAACCCGGGCGTTGGCGATAGTGGTCGACGGAGGACCGATAGGACCGGTGTAACGAGGGACCGGGGAGACCACAAGGACCGGAGGAGACACTCTCGAGCAACCGAGGCGAAAGCGGTGGACCGTGACCATGACGGTGATGCCTCGGACGCTGGATCAGACTTCAGCTCTGTCTCGGTCGACGAGCTACCTCCCATCCGCGCCTACGGTCACACGTACCACGGATCTGGTCGCCTCCTCATGCCCAACGACGAATCTGAGCGTGCACGCTTGGAAATTCAACACCAACTATTCAAGCTATGCCTCGAAGGCAGCCTGACTGCGACAAAGCTTCCCAAGGACCAGCCCCTTAGCATCCTCGACATCGGCACGGGTACGGGCAACTGGGCCGTCGAAATGGGCGAGCAGTACCCCTTGGCCAAGATCATGGGCATCGACATCTCCGCCGCACTGCTGCCCACGACGGTCCCGCCCAATGTCGTCTTTGAAGTGGAAGACGTCACCAACGACTGGGCCCGGGAAAGGGGCAGTCTCGATTTCGTACACGTGCGGAATCTCGTTGGCGGCGGCGTGCCGGACTGGAGGGCATTGTTCCAGCAGACTTACGAGCACTTGAAGCCTGGCGGGCAGATTGAGTTCTCCGAGGTGAGAACGAGGTTCTTTGACCTTGTTGGCAACAGCAGCGATGAGCCCACCGCGCCGACGGAGGAGGAGAAAGACTCCAGCATGATGACGGCGTGTCGTGAGTTCGAGGTGCGGTTTGCAGAGATGGCGGCCGTCGCAGGGGTTGACTTTGATCCTATACCGAAGATCCCCGCCATTCTGACAGACGTCGGTTTCGAAAAGGTGGGACGTTGGTCGGACCTGGTGCCCATACAAGCCGTAGGTCATGACGAGAAGATGGTTAGGAAAGGGGGCCAGTTCGCTCAAATGCTGGAATACGGTACGGTTATCTCTCTATTCTCATTGCTGTATAATTGGGCTTTGCCTCCTAACTGTCGACAGGCCTGGAGAACTACTCGCTGGCTGTGTTTGCCAAAGGCGGCTGGGATGAGAAGGGTATCCGAGATCTCTTGCAGAGAGTCCACAAAGAGACACGCGACATGACAAACGAGTTATATGGCAAAGTGTGAGTTCTCTACAGGGCTAACCCACCATTTGAAACCGACAACTAACACCAACTAGGTCGTTTGTAACAGCCAAGAAACCAATGCAGTGAGGTGATGTCAAAGCAATTCGCTTTTTTGCATGACAGACCCCTAGACCATCAGAACATGCAACAAAAGTAAACAAGTCTCATAATCTCAAGTTCTGTGAAGCTATCATCAACGAGCCCTCCGTCAATTACTGACTCTGTCATAAAGACCAATTTTCCATCTCGGTACCCCAACCTCAACAAGCAGTTTGACTTGGTGAGATGCCACCCTCCACCACCTTCTGTCGCAATCGGCCTAGTTTCAATCCTCTGTGCTCTTTGACTAGTGCCTAATGAAGAACGAATGGGACCGTCCAAGTTCAAAACACAGCTTACCAAGCGTCAAATCCCACTGCAGAACAGCTCGAAGGGCCTTAATCCCTGGTCCGTTTCACTTTATACTCAGTAGTGCCTGTTGCAATAGTCACTCTCCTTGCTATCAACGCCGCACGTTGGCTGTGAGAATGCAACTCGCCCGTTGAAGATATCTTAACACCCATGATTGTGGCACAAAAGTTAATCACTTCTCGGGCATATGGTTCCGGCCCATACATTTGTTCTTCGGCCTTTCTGACCCCGATACCTTCGGATTGCAGGAGATCTTACGCGTCAGCTGAGTAGCAAGCCTTCAGCATCCATGGAACGTGGCGCCGTAGCAAGTTAGGGCATCTTCAACATGGTTCCGATGCTTACACGAGGTACCCTTTTCAATCGCGTGTGTCAAAATGTGGCGTCGAGAAAAGTCGCACACGCCAGCCTGTTCATTGCTGCCACGGACAGCACACGGACGGCATTGCAGTCGCATCTTGAAAATTTGCCCTACCGTACGCCGTTAAGCTGAGGAACAGCTGTTTCCTCCGCCAGAACGTAATCCCGCACCGCGCCCTTCCAATCACTGATTCTGATATCCTTGATCTTTACCACGATAACACGCACCTCTTCCCCGGCTATGAAGCACCCTCTGCCACCGTCCTCTGCCTGAACGCTGGGATTGAAGCTCTGACCCTCGTCAAAGGTGTTGTTCTCGAGATGTGCCTCGCGATAGAACTTTTCTTCGTCCGATCCATTATTCACCAGACTAGCAGTGCCGTTGATGGTGGCGCTGATGCTAGATACAGCAGCGGTGTTTAGGTTCAGGAGAAGCGAAGCAAGGCTAGAACGGTGCTCAGGGCCGGGACTGCCGCCGGACGGACGTCGGCCGGAAGTTGGTGGGCGGTGGGAAGACCCTACACGGACTCGTCAGTAAGCCAAGGCATCTTCCTTGATCTTTTTTTTTATTCATTTCTTTGTGAGGAGGGTGTATTTTACAGTCGTGAACTAGCAGAGAGACATTGGGATTTGAGAGAAGATTATGCGTCTTTCTGGAAGCGGGATTGGTGGTCATGACGATGACTGGGCCGGACGAGAAGTTGGATGACGGTATGTAGGTATAATTCATGAGGGAGACATTCGGGATGTTGTCGGTACATGTTGCGAGATGGAGCTGTTAGGCGATGGACAGTCGGCCCAGTCAGCACAACAGAGCTCTCGATAATACGCGGACAGAAGGTTGTCACGGAGTATAGGGAACAGTGCAAAGCTTACGAATCGGGCATTCTCTAGGCATTGAACAACCTCCTGAGGAAGCGTCGTGGTGACCTGTTTGTTTGTATCGCCGGCCGAAGCCTGGTAGTTGAGGGGGACTTGTTGTTCCATGTCGAATTCGGCGGTGTCTCGTGAGTTGGTGATATCATTCAGTTATCATGAGCTTCTCCCAACCAGCTCTCCCGGATCGGCTGGGCTAGAGGAAAGATGGGCAGACAGGGCCGTGTCTTACGCTGACTAATGCGGGGCAGGATCGCTCGGTATGGTAGGATGACGTAATTCACTTGCATCTATTCTGATCCTTATCTTATCAGTTATAACTGCTGAAGGCAGGCGTCACTGTCGCCTTTCAGCGGCTTTCTCGCAGCTACGGCTATTGTCGGCACGGCATCTCACAACAAGAGAGAGCGTGACAAGCCGAAAGCACAGCTCCTCGAGACCTCGGTTTAACGATTAGTTGCAGCTCTATACTTTTCTTCTCCATCATCCACTCCCTAATCGTTCTTCGACCTCGGTGTAAAGTCCCAATTGACTATTCTAGTGGACGACGATCTAACCCTTCGGCTTTATTCCAGACATCATGCGTTCAATGAAGGCGAAGCAACGGCTCGTCCGACCCCTCCCTCGTCTCCTCTCCACTGCCGCCGGTCAGTCCGTGCCGGCCTCGAGCCAAATCACCCCAATTACCTCTTTGTTGATCGCCAACCGCGGCGAGATTGCTCTGCGAATCCACAAGACTGCCAACAGGCTGGGCATCAGGACGACAACTCTATACACAGACCCCGACAGCGCCAGCCAGCATGCCGCGTGTTCCCCACACTCCCTAGCGTTGGGAGACGCGAGAGCCTACCTCGACGGTGAGCGCATCATCTTGCTGGCCAAGAAGCACGGAATCCAGGCCCTTCACCCTGGATATGGCTTCCTATCCGAGAACTCCAAATTCGCCGAGAGGTGCGAGAAGGAGGGCATCGTCTTTGTGGGACCGCCAGCGCAAGCCATGGCCGACATGGGTGACAAGGCACGAAGCAAGGAAATTATGACTGCTGCCGGGGTACCATGCGTGCCGGGATACCACGGCTCTGAGCAAGGGGAGGAGCAACTGCTGCAGCACGCCAAAAACATCAAGTTTCCTGTGCTCTTGAAGAGTGTCAAGGGAGGTGGTGGAAAGGGCATGCGCATCGTCATGATGGAGGACGAGTTCGCCGCCCAGCTCCGCAGTGCTCGTGCCGAAGCTCGCGCCTCATTCGGTGAGGGTGGGGAGGTGATGCTGGTGGAGAAGTACATCGTCCGGCCGCGCCACGTCGAGGTGCAGGTCTTCGCCGACAAGCTGGGCAACTGCGTGGCTCTCGGCGAGCGTGACTGCAGCATACAGAGGCGTCACCAGAAGATTCTTGAGGAGTCGCCGGCGCCGGACTTGGACGATGAGACACGCTTTGATCTCTGGGAGAAGGCGAGAAAGGCAGCCTTGGCCGTCAACTACGTTGGTGCCGGTACCGTCGAGTTCATCCTCGACAAGGACACCGGCGATTTCTACTTTATGGAGATGAACACTCGTCTGCAGGTCGAGCACCCCGTGAGCGAGATGGTGACGGGCACCGATTTGGTCGAGTGGCAGTTCCGCGTCGCCGCTGGTGAAAAGCTGCCATTGACCCAGGAAGAGATCGTGGATAACATCAAGCAACATGGAGCAGCCATCGAGGCCCGTATCTATGCCGAGAGCCCCGAGAAGGGATTCATGCCTGACTCGGGCAAGTTGATTCACCTTACCACGCCACACATTAACAAAGATATTCGCATCGACGCTGGATTTGTCCAAGGCGACACTGTCTCGGAGGCTTACGACGGCATGATTGCAAAGTTGATCGTTCGTGGTAAAGACAGAGAGACTGCCATTCGTAGGATGGAATTGGCCCTTCGGGACTATGAAGTTGTTGGCCTCAGCACCAACATTGAGTTCTTAAAGAGCCTGTGTCGGTCGCCCGCTTTCATCAAGGGAGACGTCGAGACGGGTTTCATCGATAAGTGGAAAGAGGAGCTTTTCAAGCCGCGACCCATCCACAGCGAAGTGTTCATACAGGCCGCTCTCGGTTCGCTGTCTCCTCAACTGGTCCATGATGCTCCTCACGGGGGCAGCCTGGGGTTCGGTGAGGCCAGCACGTTGAGCGAGCGTAAATTCGTCTTCAAGGTCCTTGACTCGTACAGTGAGAAAGAAGGAGAGGTGGTAGAGGTGAGTATCACACAAAAGTCTAGCCAGCTCTTTGATGCCCGCGTGACGAGAAATGGCGAGGAGACACATGAGATCAAAAATCTTGTCAGCAAATCCCTTGCAAACTCGTCGTCAACAAACTCGTTGACGACATTTTTCCCCAATGAGCGCCTCGCGTCTACAGTCGTCCAGAATACGCAGAACGAGCAAGATATGAAGATCGTAGTGTTCCAACACGGAATCAAGACAGAACTCTCTCTTCTGCCACCGAGTTGGTTCGAAAAGGCCCTTGGCTTGAGGGAGGCAACAGCGTCAGTGGTAGCGCCTATGCCATGCAAGATTCTGAAGAATGAAGTGGAAGAGGGACAGACAGTGGCTAAGGGAGCCCCATTGGTTGTGTGAGTACAAGCTGAAAATCGTAATTTTTGATAGATTGTGGTGCTAAGTGACTGACTTAAACATGCAGCATCGAGTCCATGAAGATGGAAACGGTCATTCGGTCACCACAAAACGGCGTAGTCAAGAAGCTAGCGCATAATGAAGGCGTAAGTCATCAGGCCTCTCTTGATTGATGTCTGTCACTAACAATATCACAGGATATCTGTAAGGCTGGAACTGTTTTGGTGCTATTTGAAGAGGAAGCTGGCGAGGAGTCATGAATTGAGGCCAGCAGATTTTGTATCCATGGGTGTTAAAGACATCGCACCCGTGTTCATCTATCGTATAGGTATAATTATGACGTCTAGAAGCATTTTATTTCGGCGATTCTGATCATACCAATACATTGCAAGTGTGAACTATTATTCTCATTTCATTCGTTAGCCATCTGTTCGAGGTACTCTCACAGCTTCTCCAACCTAGTATTGCAAGCCCTTCAAGCGACGCATGTATTCGAGTTACATATGTCCGCTTAAGTTAATTGTGTCTTTGAAGCAGGCAAAACTGGGCCCAAAGGAGACTTCAGACCTACCCCAAAACCCAGAGGCAGTACTCTTCATCGCGCAAGGTCGTAGCTCCTGGTGCTCTTGACGGTAGACTCCAGAAGCAGATGACCCATTATGAATGACTGCAAGGTCGCTTTGGACACGCGTTCTATGGGAAATATCCTATCGTGGTCGCCGACGACGAAATTTACAGCGAAATACCTTCTCCTTTCTCCTGCAGGTAGGCTGTAAAATGCGATGCCGTTGCACTGTGCTCTATCATCATCATTTTAGGTTGAACCTATGTGATGAACCGCAGCGTCTGATTACATTAGAGAAAAAGTAGTTAATTCTTCTAAGTCTAACTATAAGGAGAAAATTAGGTAGAAATAGTCCTCCTAAAGTGGGCCTGTTAGTTAGTATGCTACTCCTATAGAGCCTACTACTAGTTCTAGCTATATAAAGCTGTCCTAGCTTTATAATATACCCCCCTAGTTATAAATAAATATCTATAACTAGTTCCTAAAGTTAATATTTTTAATTATAAAAAGAAATTAAAGTAATTATTAGTTAATAAAGGCCTTATTAGGCTATACTTAGCTAATAAAGTAAATAACTTTATTATATAAAGGTTTTTTTAGTATTATATCTTATTACTTTTTTTTATTAACTACTTTTTTTATAGCGTTATTTTTACTTATTTAAGTAACTATAAGTTAATATCTTACTTATTAATAAATATCTTTAGATTTCTTACTAGCTAGCTTTTTTTTTTTAACTAATAAATTAATTAATAAAGTAAGTAAATATTCTAGCTTTATTATACGTTTAAAGTTATTTTTTATTTTATTTTTATAGTTATAAGCTTATTTCTAAGATAGCTAATAGAAGTAAAAAGCTAACTAAGAAATTATAAGTAAAAAGCTAACTAAAAATAGCCTTTAAAAAGGCTATAGTACTTGATAAGTATTTTAATATATAGCTTAAGTTATTTAGTATTAACTTTTTTACTATTTTTATAATTTACTTTATAGCTTATAATTTATTTTAGCTTATAAATCTTTAGTAACCTTAGTATAAACTACTTAGTAGCTATAGTTCTTTAACTCTTAATATACTTTTTTATTTATACTTATAGTTAGAAGTAATATCTAACTAGTATTTAGCTACTAAATTAATTACTAGTACTAGCTTAACTAATATAAATACGTTTAGTATAGTAATCTTTAGTTAAAGTATAACCTAGTCTATTAGTCTAGATAATAATCTACTTATAAATAAGTTAAAAAAAAGGAAAATAAGCCTCTCTCTTTAATTATTACTTTAAGTAAAACTTCTCTTATAGTTTATATTATAATTAAGGTATATAATAATATTTTTTAGTAAAAGAAGTTATATAGTAAGTACTAGACGTATTTTAATTAGGTAATTACTTTATTTCTAACTTATAAGTAGATCTTAAGCTATTAGCTACTACTTTTATTACTTTAGCTAATTTTTAAATAAAAATAGTTAATCTAAATAGCTTTAAGTTTATAAAAGGTTATTATACTACTAAAAAGAAAAGCCTAAAGTATTTTAAAAAAACACTTTAGAAATTATATTATTAAAGAACCTAGTTATTTAACACTATTTAAATACTTTATACTAACTAGACCTTAGTTAGTAATAGTAATTTACTTATTTTTTTATTTAATAATAAAGATATAAATAGTAATTTAAATAAGTTTAATAAGTTAGATATATAGCTTAGTCTTAAAAAAAAGTTTAATTCTTTTTTTAAGAAGAAAAGTATAAAATAAAAAAAGGCTTTAAAAAGTAGCCCTTACTAACTATAAAGATATTATATAGTTAATACTAATAGTAATCTAGTTCTTAAAAAAGGTCTATACTATAAGGTTATTTACTTTAGCTATCTTAAAAGTGTTATTTATAGCTTTTCTTAAAGTAAATATATTAATATAAATAAAAAAAGGTTATATAAGCGTTATATTAAGAATAATACGTCTTATATTACCTTTTTAAGTAAGATAGTTAAAACTACTAATAGTTTCATATATTATACTTATACTAAAGAGGTAAAAGCGTCTATAAGTTTATATAATCCTTACTTATTTTAACTTATAAAGCTAATAATTTATATAGTAACTTAAGTTTAAAAGTTAGTTCTTATATAATAGAATTATAAAAATAAATATACTTTATAAAAAGTAAAAAGTAAAGCTAAAGTTAGCTAGTATAGTTACTACTATTAACCTTACTAGCTATAGTCTATATAATCTAAGTATTTACTTATTTAGTTATAAAGGTTTTACTTTTATATAAAAAGTTAAATATAAGTAGAATTAGGCTTTACTTAAGAAGTAAAAGGTTAGTTAGAAGGCTAGTCCTATATATACTACTTAAAAAATTACTTTTAAGTTATTTTTTAGTACTACTTATAATAAGAATACTAGTTTTATTTTAGGCTTTAAGGCCTTTTTTAACTTATTTAAGAAAGCTATTTATAATGAATACTAGTAGTTTTTTAGATTATTAATTATAATATAGAATTAGCGTCTTAGTTTATATAAGAAAAGTTTTAAGGTTTAGTTTTATAAATAGAAAAGGTTCTTATTTTAGACTATTAGGATTCTTTTTAAGAAAAGATTTTATTTTATTTAGCTAGATTAAGCTAAGTTTTTAGATATAAAATTAACTTTTTAGATTTATCTTACTAGTTAGTTTATTTATTTTAAGATAATATTATATATATTAGCTAGGTTAAGTAAAAAATAAAAGTGTTTAAACTTTATATATAAGAGATTTTTTATAAGTCTATTAGCTAGTATTTTACTTATAGCTATATATATAATATTAAAGCTTTTTTTAGTAAACTCTTATTTTAACTATATATTCTAGATACTTATATATTATAGTCTTATTATAAGCTGTTTTCTTTATTAAATAACTAATTAAATAGTTTACTAGTTATTATAGTATATTTACTATATATCTCTTATAGCTAGTTAGAAGTCTTAAAATAATTATTTAAGTGCTATTACTTTTTTTACTATCGATTTAAGATTAAGAAGTTCTACTTTAGTAGTAAATATAGTTATAGTTACTTAGTAAGTAGCTTTCTACTAGATTACGCCTCTAAAAAGTAAGAAAATATAACCTTATAAAGATTTTCTTAACTTTTTATTATTTATAAATAAGGCGTTACTAGTTATTAAAAAGGCTATTTTACTTTTTACGTCTTTAAAGCTAATTATAAGGTAGTATATTAAATATAAATAGTAAATTACTTAGTTTACTATTACTATATACTATTTTAATAGGTTTATTAGGTATTATAAAAGTACTAAATATATAAATATAATATTAGGCTAGATTATTATTACTATAAAGAGGATAAAGCTAATTTTTATTTAGTACTTATAGACTTATTCCTTTATTACTTATCCTTAATTCTTCTTAAAGGTTATTATTAGTAAAGGAGTTAAGGAGAAAATACCTTCTATAAGGTTAAATTATTTTATAACCTTTTTAATATATAAGTTATGAACTAAGTAGAGTTTCTTTACTTAGTAGTCCCTAATAATTTAAATCCTAAGGTAATATTTAGCTAGTCCTTAATTCTTTATCTTATATAACTTCTTTAAGGACTTAATAATTTATTCTCTTATAGCTTTATTATCTTAGTAGTAAAGTATAAAAATATTATTAATATAAAAAATAATAAAGATTTTTTAGTTATAATTAGTAAAAAGATATAGGTCCTTATTTATAGGTTAAAGATTAAGACTTTTTAGCTTTACTAAGAATTCCTTATACTAAAGTAGTAGTATATTATATAGTTTATATAAAGTATATATAAGTTAGACTAGTTTACTTAGTATTTAGAAACTATCTAGTAAATAATATATTACTACCTCTTTACTTAGCTTAGTGTTAAGAAATATATTAACTATATTAAGTTATCTAATTTTTAAGTTAAATTATACTATAATTACTATTATAATATAAAAAGTCCTTATAGCTAGTATTACTATATAAGTTTATTAAAGTAGGTTTTCTAGCTATAAGTTACCTTAAATATAAATTCTTACTTTATAATATTTAAGGAAACTATCTTTATTTACTTTATAAGTAAACACCTACTTAAGTAGTAACGCCCTTATTTTTATCTCTATAGCCTAAATAACCCTTTAGATCCCTTTTTTTATTAGTTTCTTAATTTCTACTAAATAAGCCTTTTTAAATAGCTTTTTTAGGTTTAAAGGTAATTTCTAAATATCCTTATAGCTTTTTAGTAGTTCTAGTAGTTTAAAAACCTAGTATTTTTTACTTAGTCTTTAGGATATTTTTATATATATAACGTATATAATAAGCAAGCGCGCTAGACAAGTAAGCACGCTACCTAATTACAGCTACCTTATAAATATAACTAAGAAGTAACTATAAAATAATAAAATTAATTTAAACTACTTAGAATCCTGTTCTTTAGATATTTCTTTATTAAACTAGCACGTTTACGTATTATATCTAGCGTTCTTATAGGTGCTACACTGCTGTTTACCTGTTTCTATCCTTAATCTATAACTACTACTTTAATACGTTTCCTCCTTAATCTAGGTTGTTACCTCTCTCTATAACTAAATATCCTATGTATTAGCTACACTAAGACTCCCTCCTTACTTTAGATAAGTTTTTTTTACCTTTCTATATTAGTTAAGTAGGTTATTTTTCTT